GAGATGGACTATTTAACTTAGGTATTTTTACATTTTGGAGCAGTTTTTTCTTTTCGCAGACTCTTGGAACACGTCCACTTCGTTAGATACTGCAGCACACGACTTTCTTTTCAGGGATGAGTAACCTCTGAATTTCATTACTCCACGACGGACTTCTACTGCTGTGCTTTAAAGGTCATTTCTTTGAAATGTAGAGGAGCGTTAGGGAAACCATGAAAGAAACAAATCATAGCTTGCAACATTTTTTGCCAGATTGAAAACTGTATCCTGAAAAGGCTAACTTGTGTTCCAATTCCAGAGACCAACTCGTTTATATTTAGATTTTTTTTTTTTCAGCCGGAAAGGGAGATATGAAAGGGTAAACTCGAAAGGTACATTTTTGAGGCAGACGTGGAGGCTGCAACTATTTTACAGGAAGCAGATTCAGTTGCCAGTATTCCATTTTTGCTCAATAAACCTGGTTCAAATAACAAAAGATTTCAAATTCTGATGTGTTTCAAAAAGCCTCATTTGAATTCATGTTCAACTCTGAAGCAAAGAGCCCCCAGCATCCAATGATAGCCATGTTACACAGCATTTTTCCGGCGAACCAAAAGGATTCTCTGTCCTGTCTCCCCGTAAGGAATGTGTTCTGGTTCCTGCCAAACCGGGAGAAGACCCGCCAGTCTCCTTGTGTGCCTGCGTTCCCGCTTTTCCTCTGGTGAATCTGCGTGAGGGAGTGTATTTAAATGGGCCACTGCATCTCGACTTAGATCCACCGCGAGTGCAACGTTAACACATCAAGCATGATTAATCTCCCGCTCTCATCTACGATCAATCAAACACACTTGTAAATGTACACACACACACACGCGTGCTCACATACACTCAGAAGCAGAGAAATCACAGAAATCAGCTGCTTTATCCCCTTAGCTGCCATCTATCTCCTGTTGGACAGAAGCAAATCTGTCTTGATGTTAATATTTACATAAATCATGCTTAGCCCTTCTGGACACCATGCTGATGATAGGTGTTTCTGGGAAATCAACCTGGGTGAAAAATCTTCTACATAGGGGGAAGTGTCATTGAGCAGCTAATAATGACCCATGTCAACGTCATCAATCTATGGTGGGTCTGTGCGAGGACAGAAGGCGATGGCGACGTGTGGAGACAATCTATTGCTGAAACATTCTTCATTTGAAAGACCTGTGAAGCCACATGGACAGATGAAAGCGGAGCAGGATTCCTGAAACAGACTGTTCTAGATATTTGATGTTGGAACTTTCTTCACAGTAACAATGATCTGTTTGAAGCCCAAGGACAAAAATCCATGGGTGCCTGAGCTTTTCTTTTTTTTTTTTTTTTCCTGTTCTGTCAGGAGCACTGAAACAATAAATACCCCTCGTCATGAAGCGGCGTGTGTGGGAACACATAATGCGTTTCTGTAAGAATCACTGTGACAGAACACAGGCCAGTTCAAAACAGACCCGTACCGGCTCCACACAACGAGCACCACTCTTCCTGGGACTGGTGTCAACTAGTGTTGTACGCTTTTTGGGAACTATATGTTTGGAACATTATGTCAAAAGTTGAATGCTACTCCAAAATAAAATTTCAAGATTGTTCCAGTATTTGTTTTGTTTGTTTTTTTCATTAATACTGACCAGAGTACTACTATAGAGGTTCCACAGATCATGACACAACACAGTGCCAAATTCATCAGTGTGATAAAACTACATTTTGCATGCTTTTATCTTGACTAATTAAATCAACTCTATTAAAATATCTAACATTTATCACTGTATTAAAACTCTGTTAATCTACATAGAGATGAACATAGAAGAGGTACCCAGAAAAACATCTCAGTAACTCCAAAAACAAAACTATTACTGAGTTGTGTGATGTAAATCAAAGCATTCTTTAAAATAAATCAACATAAAGACATCATTTCACAGAAATTTTAATTTATATGGTCGAGATCTTGGAATAAGAATGAAGCCTAAAATTCTAATCTTCTAGGCATCCGATCTTAACTTTCTAGGTCACTAAACTCTACAACAGGCAAGAATGACAAGGCCAAGCAAAGGCTACCAAACTGGCTGGATGGAGCTGCAGTGTGCAGGAAGTCAGTGAGTTGGGCTTGAATTACAATAGCCCAGAAAGTATCAAACCGGACAATACATAAAACATACTAACTTCAAAATTTTAAAAACCAAAATAAATGAAGTTGCACAGTGCAAATCAAAGCTAAACAATGATATTTGTCTATAAATCCAGATTTCTTGTTTAAAAAATTTAACAATTGATAAAAATATAGAATTTAGAAAAACGTGATTCATTATCATTTTTACCGTACTCAAATTCAATTCTTTTTCAGACTTCTCAAGATTGTGTAGGAAGCCCCAACCTTCACCTCTGTCGGAGGGGCAGAGTTAGGGCACAGATGAGGACGACAGAAAGATGCAGTTGATTTCATGGAGGCATGGAGTACACTTAATTGGTGAGCGTGACAAGTGTGCTGAGCCTGTCATCTCCAATCATTAGGCCTGTCGGAGAACCATCAGACGCTCTGCTAATTAGGAGAACGCTAATAAAGCTGGCAAAACAACTTCTCTGTTTAGCTGGCTGGGCGCGCTGCGACACCTGGGCAGGAAGTGTATGTGTGTGTGTGGCTGTGTGTCTGTGGTGGTGAGGAAGTCCAGCACACCACATGTGGTCAAATCTAAAATCCGCACAGCTCTCAAATGAACAAGCAGGACAGCGAAAACTCTAAACAAACAAGAAAAAAAAAATCCTAATCAAGACCTATCATTTGCATTCCTTTTCTAACTGTTGCCATTACTGAAGCGCAATCAGTTTGTCATCACTTCTTTGTGAGGCACAAGCTTACAGCTTGCAGCTGGGGTGAGGGAGAGGAGAGAGAGAAAAAAGAGAGAGAGAGAGAGAGAAAGATGAGGAGTAGAGAAGAAAGGACGGCTTGGAATGAACTCCTCCTTTTGCCTCATGTTTCCCTGATTTGCTCCTTAAAGAAATCTTCTCATTTTCTGCCACTACAAGGCAGCAGTCCTCCTGCTGCACATCCATCCATCCATCCATCCATCCATCCATCCATCCATCCATCCATCCATCCATCCATCCATCCATCCATCCATCCATCCATCCATCCATCCATCCATCCATCCATCCATCCATCCATCCATCCATCCATCCAGTCATTTCTTCACCCCCCACTGTGTCCATTAGGACTAAAACATTTTGATCAAGCAAGTCTCCAGACTGACAATACGTAAGTGTGTGTGTGTGTCCATGCGCGCATGTGTCTCCGTGCCAATGTCTGATTGACCATTAGGGCCGTTGATGAATGTGGCTGTCAGAGGGCAGACAATTAAATCAAATATGAAACAAAGTCTCTGTGACGGCTCCTCTGATGGAGCAAAAGCAGTGCTGCTCTTTTCCACTGACGCTAATAGTTGGGTTTAGTAGCAGTCTGAGTGCTCATCAGCGTATAGCGGCCCACATAGCACAGGACTGTGGGACACACATAAAGTAGAGAAAAATCAAACAAAATAATATGAATAATAATAATAAAGGATGTGCTGAACTGGAAGTGACTGACTGGACCTGAGAAGGCCCGTTTGTCCTGCCGGGGAGAGTTCACCAAGGGACAGGGAGGAGCAAAGGCTGATTTATTAACACTTATTGGGCAGGAACAGATCAAAGGCACAGACAGATGACAGGCGATCAATCAGACATCAAGGCAAAGGTGGCAATTGGTCCATTAAAGGCCTCCACCTCCCCCCAACCTCCATCCTGTTTACTCTCCCAACCCTCAGGGCGGGAAGTAATCTTTACTGGATCAAAAAAAAAAGTACTTTCTCGGAAGCAAAAGAAAGAAACACAAAGATGCTGAAACATCAGTGTGTTTAAACTAACAATAAAGAAAACAATAAAGAACAGAAACCCGGCTCAGGCTATGTTAAATATGTTAAAATATTTCTAAGGGATTTTATGACCTTAAAATATAGTGAAAGATTTCTGTTTAAAAGAAGCAATAAAAACGTACATTTTCATTCAAAGAAAACAAAAAATAGATACAATTTGGAACAATAAGTATCATCTTAAAAGAAATCCAAGCATCAAAGTAATGTGTTTATGTTGAGCGGAGGGATGGAGCGAACCTTGACTGTAGATCCTTCATTACTAAGTCAATATCTACAGGCAGAAAAACCCAAAACTGTAAATGATTCCAGAAGAACAAAAAGAAAACAGCGCTGAAAAAAAAACTTCCATCACACTGGGACTTTGGAAAGGACACATGCTCCCAGGTGACCTGTGACCTTTTAGGAGAAGCAGTGGGGCGGTTGCTTTATAATTAACATTTCTCTCAATTATAAACAAGCCATGATTTCTGAATGTGAACATGAAAAAAGAAGGAAGCATCTGTCTGTTCAAACTGTCTCCTTAAAACATGATGAACGATTAAATTATTATTTTTTTTAATGATGTGGGAAAAAAAACAAAAACGTCCCGATGCAGCATCAGGTAACATCCCGAGCCTGACCTCGTCCAATGAACAGTTCCTCACCAATAAGAGCGGAAATGCGTATTGTTTTATACTTTTGCATTTCGGTATAGTTTTAGCAAGTCTGGCCAGTTTCCACAAAATACTAAAAGAGAAATGCTTTTTTCTGATTTGTTTTTTCTTTTTCTGATATAGACTCATGCTAAGCTACTCACAGTTGTTTAAATATCAACAAAAAATAAATAAATACATGAAAGAAGGTGAACTCCAGAGCTGGGGAGGTGGGGGGTAGAAGAGGTGAGTGTGTGTGTGTGTGTGTGTGTGTGGGTGTGTGTGTGTGTGTGTGTGTGTGTGTGTGTGTGTGTGTGTGTGTGTGTGTGTGTGTGTGTGTGTATGTGGGGGGTGTGTGTGTGTGTGTGTGTATGTGGGTGGGTGTGTGGGTGGGTGGGGGTGGGGGGGCAATAGTTGTAAAACATGCGAAACAAAAGCCAGCACGTACCTGCGGCGCGCCGGGGCGCCTGCTGCTTCCTCCGCGGCATGTCGGCTTCGGGGCCCGGCAGGGAAGTCGTCTCTGGCCACGATGAAACGAGGCTGCGGGGAGGTGGTGGTGGTGGTGGTGGTGGTGTGTGCGTGTGTGTGTGTGTGTGTGTGTGTGTGCGTGCGTGCGTGTGTGTGTGTGTGTGTGTGTGTGTGTGTGTGTGTGTTGAGGGGGCTTGGGGGGTGGGGTTATCCAAGGGAGCTTTGATCCAGTTTCTCCCTCCGCTTGGCTCCGCTCTCACGGCTCCCACATAGATCGAGGTGGGAGTGTGTTTGAAGGTAGAGGAACAGGCACAGTTTTCGAGAAATAAAGAAGGAGAAGAAGAAGAAAAAAATCAGGATAGGGAAAGAGCGACCCAGCAGCGGCAGCAGGAGCTCCGCGTGGCGGTCGCTCGGTCGCGCTGCCTCCCCCCGCCGCCGCCTCGCTCCGCTCCGGCTCCGATGGACCTGACGGAGCGGCGGATCCTCCGGCGGTAGGAAGAGGGAAAAACGGCGCTTTGTGTCTCCCTGCGATCCTCCGGGTTTACTCTGTGTCGGAGGCGGCAACAGGCGAGCTGGAGGGGAAAAAAAACAACAGATGATTGCGTCAGTCAAGAGTCCGCAAACAAGAGAAGCTCCACACATCAAGCGCTGACACAACTGAAACCCTGCGCCGCTCCGCCGCTGATAGGCAGTTCTCCGTCTCTCACTCCCCTCTGCCTCCACCGAGTAGGCTCTACCCCTCTCACTCTCTTTCTGACATCTCCTGTCTTATTCTAGCCTCCGATTTATCCCTGAAGCCCCCCGGCCCCCTCCCTTCCTCGGACATGCACACCGGACTCAAGAATACAGTTTGATTCACCAAAAACACACCGATTGCTGACCAGCCTGAGCCGGGTTTCTGTTGAACAAGACATTTTTAATCTCATTGTGGAAATAAAGGTTAAATAAATCTCTTTTTTTTCTTTTTAAAGAAACAATAACGGAGATCCACACTTACTTCACAGGTTGATGCTCTGATTCACCGTCCATAGGTTTTCTCAGGTAGAGTCAGAGTCAACAGCTGAAACATGCCTGAGAGCAGCTCGTACACATCCATTCATTCAGAAAAAATAATAATAAAAGGAGCCACGTGAAGATGTTTTTTCAGAGGACAGAGGAGGCGGTGGAGGCGGTGGAGGCTGCTCCGCGATTTTGTCCGAAAGCGCTTTGAAACATCTGCTGAGGGGCAAGTCATACAGTCAGCATGGGCGCGCGCGCCCTTCACAACAACGTGCGTCTGTGCGCGCGCGCGTGCGTGCGCGAGTGCGCGAATCGATGAGATACGCGCTTGATTGGGTCTCCCTTGTTTGTAATAATGTACATGAGGAGGAGGAGGCGGAGGAGGAGGACCAGGCTGCTTCCAGGCAGCGCACGGAGCAGCCGAGCGTCGGCGCCGCGCTGTCAGCCTCTTCCCCGGCTGCCGGTGATGATTTCCTTTCCTTTTCTTTCTTTTCTTTAATTTTCTCTCCGTCTCTGCTTTTTCTTTTTTTTTCTTTCTTCTTCCTTCACGTAGAGATGAGCTGTTTAGGTCAGAATCAGATCGTATCCCGCAGCGGCGCGCTGAGCTCTCAAAAGGCGCAAAACCTTTTCCGACCAAAGTGGAACTTAGTAAACTTACTGCCTTTTTTTACTTGTCATTATAGATATTTACAAGAAAGTTCACAACTTTTGTCAGTTCAGTTTTGTACAGTTCAGTGTTTGTTTTTTCTTATTGAAGATTATTATTTTGTTATTTTATTTAATTATTTTTTAATTATTTTGGAGTGAGGCAGAAATCTTCTCCTGTGTTTTTAGGCGGCAGTCTCCGGATCAGTGGATGTAAGGTTTTTGTGGAGAAAACAGAAGATCAAGGAAGGTAAGGGTGAGTTGCCAGAAGCTGTCTCCCCCCCACCCCCTCTTCACTCCCTCACTCTTTTCTCTTCCTCTCCCTCTTCTCTTCTCGTCTTCCTCTGGGCCAGATGTGCTGCTGCACCTTCTCACTGTTTGGTCAATAGAAAGAAAGAAAAAACGAGGCGCTTTTTCGTAAAATCCTCCAATTTGCGCGCATCAAACCGAAGCAGTCCCTCCGCTGCGATCATCAACCTCCGTCCGCGAAACGACGTTGTTTCCGCTCGCGATCTCTCCGCGACTGTGCGCGCCGCTCCGCCGCCGCCTGCCGTTAGATCCGCCCAAGCATCTGTCCGTCTTTCCATTGGTGCATCCATCAGTGTCACACACACACAGAGAGAGAGGGAAACACACACACACACACGATACGACAGCACCCCTCCCAGAGGATAACGTGCCATTCATGAACACCTCGCACGCGCTTTCATCCGCTCCTTCAGCCCGAGTCCACGATTTGCTGATGATGTTAGATGATCGTTTGAATCATTTTGCACAACTAAAAACAGGATGAAAACAACAAACGACGAGGCGTCATTAATAACTTATTGAAATTATTTCAATAATGTCAAAATAAGAGTCAGCAATAAACACAAAAATGGCGTTCAGGCGCATAGAAAGTGCACCTTTTCATCACTAACTGTCCTCCCTTGCTCCGCTTTAAAAGAATTAAAATGATTCAAAAATGATGAATGAAAATGAACACTTATTCCAAGTTACTAAGTACAAAAAAGTAGTTGTGTTCAAACCCAAATATGTCAAGCAAGCATTTGTTGCACCACAGTTTAAAACATGTTGTGTTTATTTGATCTTTTCATGTGAGACGTTTGGATAGATTTCTTTGAATTGCCGGAGTGTGTTTTCCTTGTTGGGAAAGTAAAGATCTGATCCTAGAGAAGGAGAGAGAGGAGGGGGGGGGGGCTGAATCATCCCAGTAAATTATCATCATATAATCACCTCGAATTTAATATATTGATAGTGGAATTGTTAGAATGTGTTGGGGTTTCTCTCCACAGGTCTAAAAAGAAAAAAAGTTAAGAAAAGAAAGAAGACAAAAAATAAAAACTTATTGCCAAAACCTGCTAGGACCCTTTTGTCGAAAACAACGTTGAAATTGTGTCTGAAATATTCTGTTGGTCAACTTTGGACAGGAAAAATCAGCTCAGAAATCATGTTTTCAACATATTGTGTGGGGGAAAAATTAAGAAAAGTCAAATAGCCATAAAAAGGCGTTTTGCCAGCTGAGGTAGGCTATTTGGAGAAGTTCTCCTTCACTGTCTCGCTTCGGCTATTTTGATTATATCAGAAATAATGATATGAAAATATATATTCAAACTTAAGCTATTAAGGCAGCAGTTTCAGTGTGTGTGTTGTGCGTGTCGTGGGGACGTTACATGAAAATGGGCCTACTTCAAGCACGCAGTTGACGCGTGAAGTCCAACAAATGCAGTTAAGATGTATTCCACAGACGAAAGGCAACTGGACCGCCTCATAAAAACTTCCCGAACAGACTCTGATGTCTTACGCGCACCCGGATCCAACGTGAACTCTTCAGCTGTGACTCCAGCCCTTATTGCAACTTTTCCTCCATCATTCATCCTCATGATCACCGACCTGACCGGGATTACTTTTACTGCTGCCAAATAAGCTGAATTGTGCCATTCCTCCCCTACCGCTCCTCCTATTCGAGAGGTGAAACTATTTCAAAGAAGCCCAGCCCTAAGAGTTTCACTGCAGGATTTGGTGCTGCTTTCTCTCTCTCTTCCTCTCTCACTTTTATTTTATGGTTATTTGTAATAAATTCGAGCAGCACAAACTGAAACCATTTAACGGGTGTCTGCTTGTTAAGAGGAAACTCCTGCGCCGCAGAGCGAGTAATGATTCCAGGAGGCCTGTGTGTAAAGTGTCGCTGTGAATCTCCAATGTCCTCCCAGAAACGCTGATTTTTTAAATTCATTTATTTATTTTGTATTTATTTTTTAATTTAATATTCTCTGAAAGTCGCTAAGTGAGAAGATTTTTCTCACGGCACGAGCTGCAAAACAAGTCTGCAAAAAGATCAAGACAGAAATAAACCTATGTGTGCGCGTGAGCGCGTGTTTGATCCACGGAATGAGCGCGCATGTAATTCATTTGATCACTGATTCCATCCGCAACGAAAGAACAAAACGGAGCATCAAGCGCGCAAACTTTTAGTCCTCCCGCCCCCACCACAGACACACACCACAGAAACCTCCGCAGTGTTTGCACTCACTCGCCCGGGTGTGTGTGCCTGTGTGTTAAGAGGAGGCTGCAGGGAAAGAATCGTCTCTCGCGCAATAGGTGCCGCAAATGGCTCTTCATGGACGGACATCGAGACAGAGCGTGAAAAATGCCCGATGCGGGCAGATGTGGTTCTGAGGTGTCTATGTGTCAATGTCGCCGCAGTCTTATGTTATAAAACACAATATTTGAATTTTCCAAAACTTTTTTTTTCATCGTTCTCCCCACATTATAAAGCAACAAAACAATCTCCTAGATGCGGAGAGGCGACAGAAGTGGAAACCAAAAAACCTGTTCAGGAAACAGAACAGGAGAATTGTAGTTTGGAATGGGCTTTGGATTTTGCAACCTTTTATTTCAGCGATGTTTATGTTTTTATTGTTTTTCAGAAACTTTCATTTTCACGTAATTACAAAAAAAAAGTGAAGGTTTATTTACATGAAAGACCTTAAGGTCAGAATTTTTCCAGAATCCCCCAAACTCATTTATTTTGTGTGGACGGGAACCTCCTTTCAGAAGCTTGTAAATCTACCTAATCTAAAATGCTTTTAGATTTTTTTTATTATATTGCCCATATTATAGCAGAAAGCTTGTTACATTTTATACAGCAGCTCCAAAACAATATGTACTGATTTGACTTCCAGAGAGTTGAAAGTTACAGATCGACTGCAAATTAAATATGTTAAATAAAATAATGCATTATTTTTGTGATATTTTAAATAATCACTCACTTTTTTCTGCTTGTTAAGAAGAATTGGAAAAAAAAATCAAACAAAAGGGAATGAATTTGGAATAAAATTTTCTATTCCAGTGGCTGTTTTGATAAATCACTTCAACTGAGAAATATTTTTTTCAGTACTTGACTAAAAGAATGACATTGGAACAGTTTAAACTAGATTTTTGAGCTCTTTCTCTGCCATTCAAATAACGGTATGTCAAATGAGAGATGAC